ATACTTATAGTTTATCCCATATGACACACACTTTTACTCACCTTTTTCCTCTATACTAGACGAGGCTGCCTTCTCTGCTTTGTATATTCCAAATCCCATAAATATTAACCTTTTTTCTCTTTCCATACTCAAGGTGAAATACATTCTCAGCCCTAACTTCCCACCAGTGCTGCCTTAATTCAGGCCCTAATCAAAACAATGATCCATCTAGGGACCTCTCCCTGTAAACCTATTTAAGAATTTAGAACAGAAACAAAGTAACTGTTGGACAGCTACTGTTACCACCTGTATTCAGCATCTGACTTAAATCATTTTGTTCTAATAAAGGCAGACTTAAGTCCAAATACAAACTGCATCAGAAACTGAAGATTTTAACAACCTGATTGAGCAATGAGAAATGCTAAATGAACTCCTAAGGAATAAAAGAGTTAGCAAATTATAATTAATAAGTATTCAGTGATCTGTATGCTAGATGTTATAAAAATTATAGAAAATTACATAGACATAAGGTCTAATCTCCCAGAATTATATATAGGGTGAGAAAACAAACCAAAAAACTAACAAAGGAATATAAGCAAGTTAAGACAAGTACTGAGGAATCAAAAGAAATGAAGATGGTTAATAAAAATGGCTTCTTAAGCACCACTAACTCTTGAAACAAACCAGGTGAGCATGGCAGAAACAAGTAGCAGTCAACATTACTAACCTCAACCCATTTGGACCAAAGATGGTTATAGAGAGCTAGTATGAGATTTTATTTTTCCCAATCCTTATTTCTTTTTCAGGACTATATATATTAAACTTCACTTGGGAAGACAGCATATACTCTGTAGAAAGTAAGGGGCGCCTGGGTGGCTCAGTTGGTTAAGCAACTGCCTTCGGCTCAGGTCATGATCCCGGAGTCCCGGGATCGGGTCCACATCAGGCTCCCTGCTCAGCAGGGAGTCTGCTTCTCCCTCTGACCCTCCTCCCTCTCATGCTCTCTGTCTCTCATTCTCTCTCTCGCAAATAAATAAAATCTTAAAAAAAAAAAAAAAAAAAAAGAAAGTAAGTTAAATCACGGTACAACAGAACTACAAAATAAGACCTGATAATCTTTTTTTTAAAGATTTTTATTTATTTATTGGAGAGAGAGAAAGAGACAGAGATAGCGAGAGAGCACAAATGGGGAGGAGAGGGAAAAGCAGGTCCCCTGCTGAGGAGGGAGCCTGAGACAGGGCTCCATCCCAGGACCTGAGCAGAAGGCAGATGCTTAACCAACTGAGCCACCCAGGCACCCCGAAACCTGATAATCTTGTTTTTTAACTCTTAATTATTCTAAGAAAATACTACCAGCTAATGAATTGCATCAGAACTATTTCTTTTAAGCACGTAACATATACTGATTTATTATATATAACTTTAAGTGAAACCTCATCTTTCACAAAATCTGTTTTTTAAAACTGTGGCAAAATAGATTTAAGATGCACCTCTTCCATGAAACCAATCACCAACCTGTAGTCTAATATAAGGCACATTTCCATTTAGTAAAGTATGCAGGTTTCTGCATACTTTTTCTGCTGGTGGTTGTACCTGTCTTTAACCTAATTCTCTTCCCTCACCCACTAAATCTAAAGGGGATGAAATCCTACTAAAGACTTTTTAATTGTCCTGGAATTTCCACCAGCAGTGCCTTAATTTAGGCCCTCATCATATCTTATGTGCACTACTCTTAAACACCTACCTGATCTCCTTTGTCTCCATTCTTACAATCCTCAATCCACCTTCTACAGTGCCTTCACCTTTCTCCCCAACTTTCTAAAAGTCATCCCTGATCTTGTGCACTAACTAGTGCAATACTTCAACTGTATCCCTCTCTTACATCTGTGAAATACACACTGATATCTTAACAGGTTAGAGCCTGTACTAAAAAAAACAAACAAAAAAACAAAACAAGACAAAACAGAACCCTCCAAAATCCCTTTGTTTTAATTTAACTTTAACTCACAAAATATACACCCAAGATTGAAGGGAAACATATAAACATTTCAAATATGTTTCAAGATTACCCTATCAGAAAACAGTAAACTTCATAAGCTTGCTAAAAACAGAAATGCCCAAGTTCCCCCTCAGACCCACTGAATATTATCTAGGAATTCGGGTTAGCAATATTTGTAATCTCCACAATGTTTCTAATGCATACCTAAATTTGAGAACCCAAACAGAAAACCCTCCTTGCTCCATAACAAACTACTAGTAGGCCCCCACCTTTCCAAGCTGTTTCGTTCCTCTCATCAACCTGGGAGCATACTAATCTTAAATATTCAGGTATCACCCATCCTAAAATATTTTAACACATCCTCTTTTAATCTCCTAAACTTTTGCAAAAATAATAATATCTATATATTTACATATGGTCCTTCTAATCCACAAAATCATCCCACAAGACAGTATCCCTATTTTAGAAATAAGAAAACCCATTCTACCACAGGAAGTTAAAAAAAATAGAAAACAAGAACAAAACTTGTCCTAAGTGACCAAATAAGTTTGAACTCTGGTGTGCTGACTACAAAGCCAAGACATTTTCCATTGTGAAATGCAGCATCTTACACATCACTCTGAAGTACTGACTTACTCATCAGTTTGTTTCCCTTTTGAGACATAGTAAAGCTCCTTGAAGGTAGGCATCAACCCTGATTTTGACCTCAACATTTACTTACTCCATATATACGTTGAGTCAAAGAAGGAATGCAGTTCCTCCAGAACTGGGACTATAAGTACTTCTGTTTCATTCCTTGAACTCTTAGGTAGGGCTCTGAATACACTTCTTCCCTAACAAATTTGGTCTTGTAAATGTTATTGCTGATTTTTTTAATGAGATAATGTATTTCACTATTATTTTAAACTACAAAAAGCTGCATAGTCAGCAAAGAAGAAAAAAGGATTGTTCAAAAAAATTAACTCTCAAGTAACTGGAGACTTCAAATATTAAGGTTAACCTTCACAATAATTTCAAACTGTTTAAGAATGTGGTTTTAAATGACATATTCAAAAGATAAAGGTGATTAATAATAGATGACATAAAGATATAGAGCATTGAATACTGATGGCTTATTCAGCAATTCACTTACGCTAACCAGAAAGCAAGGCTATCTTTCTCAATCACAGTATTCTTTCACATCTTTCATTTTTTTGAAACCAGTAAACATTACAGGTAAGCACAGAGAAATTAGTCAGTGTACTCGTGTTTAAATGTAATGTCCTTCCTCCCTAAAGTTAATGTGTCTGGTATGTAAAACATAATACAACTACTTCCTTTCTGACATAGACTACATAGCAAATGAAAATAAACCAGCGAAATTTTAATTTTTTTTTTCATTTGCAGATAATGTTAACATTTAAAGAGCTGGAGATTTTCCTAAATTGAAAATATGCAAAAATTAGTGCTGCTTTAAGAATCTTGCACTCTAATTATATCAAAAAGAAGTGATTATTCCTTTTGCACCACTTTTTGAAATAAATCAATAACAAGTAATAAAAAAACCCTTCTAAAACAACATAATGTAGTGAAAGTACAACAGACTAGGCATCAGGAGTCCTGGTTTTCTAGTTCTGGTTACATCACTGAATTGCTGTGTGACTTAGGGTTCACTGCTCAGTTTTCTCGTTTGTTTAAAAGCGGTGGGGGTGGGGAGGGGACTTGATTATCTTTAAAGTTGTTTCCTAAAATATCGGTTTTAAGCCAGTCCTCCTATTTCATTCTTCTAATCAGTAAAATATGAAACACATCTGAATTAAATGCAATGATTCAATCTCCAAGAGGATACAAAAGGTTGACTCCTATAAAGTTAACAATTAACCCACAGGGTAACTTTCCGGAAACTGTCTAATCCTAACTTCTTAAACAAGCAGATGTAGCCTAGTTTGACATATTTAACACTACTAAGAAAAGCTGTAAAATGGTACTGCTCTGTTGACATTTCGTAGGGGTTTCCTGGGTTCCCGTGACACATACTGTGCAGGTGCTACCACGTAAGGAGGGGAGAAAGAGACCCAAACAGCGTTTCAACAAACTCAACCACAGTTCAACCCAGCTACCGCAGTAAGATGCAGCCTGACAAGGCCTACACCACAGAGCAGAACCTCCCCACCCCCAGAAGTGCCAGCAGCCAATGTAATGAATGCTTCCGTCAACAACACACATTCCCCTTCCCACAGCAAACTGCCTGCTCCCAACCGGCCATCTGGGGTTGGAACAGGCCGCACAGCACCAACCTAAGAATCACTCTCAGGCCCCCAAAGGCCAAGACCTACTAGAGATTGCGGTTCCCCTGCGCATGGTTGTGGGGCGAGCAGCACCTCCTCCCACCAATGAAAAAAAAAAATCAGTGGGGAGGAGAGCAGAAACCAGGCCTGGGCGAGATTGCTGGAGAAATAAACGCTGTTTCTCTGCAATGGGGAGCAGTAACATTTCCTGCCCTCATTCTGAACCGATACACTCGACTTCATTCCCTCCTGGGATCCTAAAGGGGGATCAAAAACCCCATTCTGGTCCTCTTCATTCATATCTCGGCTTCATTCCCCGACCTATCCACTCCTGAGACCTCTGCCATTGTCAAAGAAGGTACCCCCGGATCAAGCAGCAGGAGGTGAAGCGAGGGCCAGTACAGAGGCCCGGTTTTTAAGATCGAGCAGCTCGTGCAAGAATAAAATCCCCTTGCGGCCTGAGAGCAAAGTTTGAGCCAGCAGCAAGGGCGCAGACCCGGGCCCGGCCAGGCAGGGTTCCAGGACACGGCTGCGGAGGTGACACTTCCCTGCTCACGGGCAGCTTCGGGAGGCGGTGTCCGCCCGCCCCGGCCCGCACTGCCCATACCCAGGGAGCCGGGCTGGCTGGAGGCCCGGCCGGCAGCCGGACCCTCCCCGCGCCGCTCCCGCCTTCTTCCCCCCTCCCACTTCCCGGCCCTCAAGCCCGACCCCGTGAGGTAACGTCGGGGACGGCGACGCGGGTCTCGGCCACTGACCACACATTTCTTGCCGAGGAAGGTGAAGAGAGACTCATTCTCCTGCGGGGTGAGCAGCAAGGACCCCACATTGGTGACCCTCCGCGGTGGCGGCGGCTGCTGCTGGCCGGAGCTCATGGTTTCGCCGGCGGGGTTGCGAGTCCAGGGCCGTCTCCCGCGAGTAGGCGAGCGCTCTTTCCCCTCTCGGTGACAGGGGTGGGAGGAGGGGAATCAGAGGCGCAGCATCTCGCAGCTCCTCGGGCGCGGGGAGGAGGCGGCCACGGGAAGGAGGAGCCAACGACGGGCCGCGCAGAGAAAGGGAAGCTCCCCGCTCCCGCCCGGCTGGGCTCTGGCCGGGTGGTAGTTGTCCTCGTACTCCGGCGACTGCGCTAAACTCCCAACTCCTCCTCCAACCCTCCTTCGGCGGCGGCGGTGGCGGCCGCACAATCCAACATGGCAGCGGGGGCGGACGAGACCACAGGACGCAGGACGCGGGGGAGCGCGCCGGAAACGCGCGGCTGCGGGCCGGGCCCCGGAGGAGCCCCCCCAACCCCACGCCGCGGCCGGCCTCGCCGCGCCGGCCCGAGGCCCCGCCCCCTTCCGGCCGGGCGCGGGCTGCGAGGTGGGAGGGGGGACGCGGGCGGTGATCGCGCGTGCGGGCCCCGGCCTCCAGCCTCGTTTCTGCGGTGTTTGGGCCCGGCGGCAGCCGCCTGCACAGAACCGGAGCCGCCCGCCCCTGTTGTGCGGACGCACACCTTTGCGAAGCGTCAGTGAAGACCCAGGTCTCCCCTCCCCACGATAGCTCTTATTTCTGGGGCACGGAAGCAGGACGTTCACGTTGCAGGTCAAAAAGATCTGGGATCTGGAAACGGAAAACTGTCAAGAAGTGACGCGCTCCGCTGTGCTCTTCGCCGGTTTCGGTCAGAGCCGCAGGTGCCTGGGGTTTCTCAAACTTTGTCCAGACTTCAGCAGTGGGAGTGGAGGAACAAACAGGCCTCTCCCAGTATTGTGAAAGAGAGATTTTGCCGATGGATGTTAACAAAAACCAAACGCACTTAAAAAAAATTTCTACTGCTCGCCTGGAGTGTTGCGAGGGATAAATGTATTTGGAACATTTAAATTCAGGCTCTTTTCTTTGACGTGCCCTGAACACATTTTTCCCCATCCTGTGGCTTGGAAAATAAACTCCCCCTTCCCATTTTTTCTTTCTCTCAAACCCCAAAGACCTGTTTTCTTTTTATCCGGAACGAATGCGCCCATTCGGGGGTGTCACACAGGAAAATACGTACTCTGATTTACTCCTTAGAAGTAAATCTCAAGAATTTTTGTTAAAATTTGTATGCCTCAGAGTATTTAAAGTTACTTAGGATAATGCCCTTTGTTCAGTAAATTAAATACTAAAATATTGTTAAACGAAGTTTTGCACTTACCAAAATGTAAAGAATAACCTCCGCAGCAATAAGTATCTGACTTCTCCATTTTAAACATCATTTATTGTATAATCTTCGCCATTATGTTTGCTAATTATTCAATTTCAATAAACAAAGAAGTTGCCATATATTAAACTTGACATCCATGTTACGCCAGATAAAATTGGGTAAAACTATTTGATTTTAACATCTCTGATAGCTTCCAATACAAGTCTCCTAAAGAAATTGGTAAGCCATTATCAATGAACTTTGAAAATATTATAAAAATTCAAAATTAAAGGTGCCCTTATGAAACTAAGCAGGAATAAATCTAGAAAGGAAAATGAGGTATGTAGTCCTGGGAGTCCTCTTATAAAATATGGATATCTCAAAATTAAACTTGATTAGTAATGTTGGGGGGAAAGGGATTCAAGAAAAGCAAGCTGACTTTTTATAAAATAATTAGGTTTAGAAAGGCAGTAGAAATGTAAACCTGGAGTTGCCTCTGAATTAGGAAGCTAACAGACACTAAATCAGTTTGTCTCTTACATCAAAAGTGAGGTTCCTTGAAAACCACAGTGACAGCAGAAAGCAGTACAAATTCTTGAGAAATAATGGAAATCAGAGTCCTAATAATTGTCAAACCTGTGAACCACAGTGATAAGAAATACACACTTTAGATAGGCCTGCGTGGAGTTCTTGTTACGCCATGTATATATGTATATAACCTTATGGACCTTGGACAAGTTGCCTCTCTGTTTCCTCATCTGTAAAACGAAAATAATTTCTATTTATTAAAGGTGTAGTATAGAGATAATTAAACCTAAAGTTGTAAAATTTACCAAGAAAGCATATGTGAAATACCTGATACATAGTGGTTACTCAAATATTACTTGTTCACCATTGACCATCTTTGTCTATGGTCTCCTTGTCTTCCCTTTGCCTAAGGTCAGCTTCCCTTCCCTTAGCTAAGGATCAAAAGTTGAGTTGAAATGTGTATTTTTACCTTTGTGCTATCTGTGATATTTCAAAAACTTTCTCGCATTTAGAACTCTATGTACTTCTCCAAATATATAGTGGTGAATTTGGGGCATAATTTCTTTTTTAGCAGAATTTCTACTAAGGCTATATATTATGCCACATGGACTATATATGTCCCACTATGCCAAAATTACAAACCTTTTAAAAACTATAAATCTAGAGACAGAGTCATATTTGTTTCTAATATCTTTTTAATATTAAATAATATTTTATAATATATTTTCTAATATTAATTTTATTTGTTAATAAAAACTGAAAGGCAGCAATTTTTATGCTAGAAGGCCAGCTTTTAAAAGCTTATAGACCACCCAACTATTTTGAAGATGGGAGAGAGAGACGTGGAAGAGGACTAAGGGGAAAAAGCAGGCAGCATGGAAAGCTAGTTGAAGGGACATCAGCTATGAGTTAACTACTGGGTTCTAATCATTTCACGACCTCTTGTTAGCCTAGACTATGTATTGTTTTAATTGCTTTTTTTCTTTCAGGAAATATTAAATGTCTTATCTATTTCTAGGTGCAATTTTCTATTTGCCCCTGTTCTTTTTTGTTTAGAAATGATGATGGAAAATTATAACCACCATAGGCTTTTTTTTCCTCAAGCCCAAATCATTTCTTTAACTTTGGCTTGAGATTTGAAATATGGTTATTTTGTCCACAAAATTGCAATCTAAGTTCTTATTTTCTACCCCTTCTTTGTTATTTTTGCTTTTCTTTGGCCTTTTTCCAACTCCCTATTCATAAAATGTGGAAAATGTTACCGTGAACGTTACATTGGAAATATGACTTCCTTACTCTTACGAGCATGTGAACAAGCAATATTTGGGGTTTTCCCTTCTTAGGGTGCACACAAGGATTTTATTTTTCCATGTTCATCCTGGGACCAAGCAGTAGCAGCTTGATTTGTTTCAAAGTTTTAGTAAGTCTCTTCTTTTATTCTCGATAGTGTATCCTCTATTTGGCAGAACACAAGACATCTTTCTCTCTGTTTTCTTTGGCAAGTTACTTTCTTATCTCAAATTCTTTTTACCCAGTTTGAGAGATTGGATTTGGTCCAGGAAATAAGAAGGATTCTATTTCCTTTCCACTAAGTATCTTGAAGTTTATAAGCCAGGTTAAGAAGACTGTAAGGATTTTATCTTCATATGAGTATAAAATGCATATGCTGTATTAAAATGTCTGAATATAAGAATAAGGCAATTCTTAAATTTAATTTCTTCCATTTGACTTTCCTTGACTCAGAATGTATTCTAACTACTTTTATTTTCTTCTTTCTTCACTATGATTCTTTAAGGTAAAGTCCTCACCTTAACAGAAAACATTAGGGTAGCTTATTTATGGAAATGAGGGCATAATTTCAGATGGATTACCTGCCATTATCGTTATACTCTGCAAATTTCTCCTTTGTTAATCCACTTTTCTTCTTCACAAATATAATTGTTTATAATCTATTATAAGTCCTTTGAAACACCCTGTTCTCCTTGCTAATGTTAATAATTCAAACTGTAGTGACACCTATCATTGTAGAGGAATGTGGAGGTAGCTGCACGTGGTATCAGTTGCATTCAGCAGCCGTTGTAGCTTAATTACCAGTACTGACTAGCTGCTTTACTTGGCAGAACTGAGTTATAGAACAACAGCGAACCTGGATACTGCAGGGGTGACAAATGTGACTTCTACCATGCAACCTCCAAGTGCCTTGGGTTTAAAATGTGCACATTGTAAAATGTCTCTGTGCATGTTTATGTAAATGTTGCCTATAGCAATGTTTGAGAGAATTTGTCCTAGTATTTTCTCTCATTAAATACTGAATGTTTTTCATCAACTAAAATCTTAAAGAGCTAGCAAACTATTTTCCCTTCCCTCTTCCTTTTATTTTTATTTTTTATTTTTTTTAGAGAGGGAGAGAGGGGGAGGGGCAGAGGGAAAGAGAGAATCGTAAGCAGGCTCCACAGCCAGCTCACAGCGCGCAACACGGGGTTCAATCTCACAACCCTGAGATCATCACCTGAGTCAAAAATCAAGAGTCAGACGCTAGCCAACTGAGCTGCCCAGGTGCCCTTTCCTCTTCCTTTTAAATTTATTTTGAGTATAAGCCTCTCTGGGGCTTACTTTTTAAGAAATAGCTTATTTACAATTCGTTCTAATTTCTTATTGATGTTAGTAGAAAATTGAATTCTTATCCACGCTACGAATTACAGTGATAGTCACTACCTCTATATGGCATAATCTCCAGATACCTAATACATATCTTTATTGAAGAAATTATCTAAACAGCTAAGTACGTTATAGTTCCCAGGGTGCTGCTTACTGTTTTTTTCCGCTGTTGCTCTTTAATGTTAATGAATATTCAATGGCTCTCAGTTTAATTATTTCAGATGAGAGGGGGAGAAACATTGGCTCCTTTATTATAATGTGTTTGATGTCAGTCTACCTTAGTTGAATTGGTAGGCATCTTGGATACTCGTGATGATTTGAAGATGCCATGTATCCCCATTACCTCACTAAAAGTATCAGGGTGAAGGATATGGTCTTCTCTATCATCCAGTGTGTTGTTGTTGTTATATTGATCAGGTTTATTTGATTTTCTATTTCAATAATTTTTGTGTTTTTATTGCTCTTTTCTACTTCAGGCTTAGTAATTCGTAGTTCTTTTCCCATTTCAGAGTTGAAATCAAGGCTTTTTATTTTTTTATTGAGATATAAGTGACATGTAACATTAAATTACTTTCAGGTGTACAACATAATGATTTGGTATTTCAATATATTCCAAAATGCACTTTCTAAAATCAATCTTTAGCTTTATAAAAGTGATACATGCACAAATTAAAAAAACAAACAAACAATACTACAAAGTTTATAACAACAAAAAACAGAATCTTCATGCTTCCTTCTCTACCCTCATTTACTTTCCCCAGAGACATCTACTTTGTTTCTTCTGGTTTTTACATATGTATTTATAAATAAGAGGTTAAACTACTATGTACTGATTGATCAATTTAAAGTATTATCTATTAACTTTCTATTATAAATGGTGAGGATTTATCTCTTAAACTACCACTCCCGCTTTTCTCTCTCTTCCCACAGAGTTATAGCACAATTTGTGTTTAAGTCATTATCCCACAGA